GTACCTGTGTCCCTGACTGCACAGCTCCGACCTGGTGGGGAATCGGCCTCTCCTGGGATGACTCGGGCAGTAGGGAATGGAGCTGAGACGTGCTGGGGAGCAGACATCAGAACGGAGGAGAGCCAGAGGGGGGGAGGGAGGGGGCTGAGGCCCTGCCCCTCTCGCCAGGCTCTCCTCCAGCTCCTCTGTCCCTCTTTTGCCTCCCTCAGCTTTTTTACGGCTCGATAGCAGGCCTCGGCTTGCAGGGGGGGCTCTGGTCACAGCTCAGACGTTCCAATAAAAAGCACACACTGCGCACGGCCTGCCGTCCTGCCTGGAAAAGCTATTGCACCCTCTGCAAACTTTTTGCCGGCTTTCTTGTAAGGTCCTTAGGCACAGCTCACCCCCTCAGCTTGCAGCCAAAGGAGCCGTTGCAGCTGTGACACATGCATATTCAACCAGTTGCTCATCCTGTCCCCGAAAAAGCTCAGTCCCACCAAGTGTGCCCTAGCCAGACAGCCCATCAGGAGGGCACAGTTAAGACAGTGCTGTGCACTGTAGCCTGGAGCACATAAGGAAGGTGGGGAAGGGGCAGCGCCATGTCTTTCTCCTCCATTTGGCAGTGGTGAGACCACATCTGGAGTCTGGTGTCCAGTGGCGGGCCCTCACTATGGAAGGGATGTGGACAAGTGGGAGAGAGTCCAACTCAGGGCAGCAAAAGTAGTCTGGGAGCCGGGGGGCATAACTCGTGAGGAGAGGCTGAGGGAGCTGGGCCAATTGAGTCTGGAGGAGGGACGATGGAGAGGGGCTTTCATAGCAGCCTTGTACGACCTGAAGGGGGGCTCCGAAGAGGACGGAACTGGACTGTTCTTGGCGGTGGCAGATGACGGAACAAGGAGCAATGGCCTCGAGGTGCAGCAAGGGCGGCTTAAGTTGGATATTAGGAAAAATTTTCTCATGAGGCGGGTGGTGAAGCACTGGAACAAGCTACCCAGAGGGATGGTGGAGTCTCCATCCTTGGAGGTTTCGGAGACCCGGCTAGACAAAGCCCTGGCTGGGATGATCTAGTTGGGGCTGGTCCTGCTTTGAGCAGGGGGTGGGACTAGATGTGACCTCCGGAGGTCCCTTCCAGCCCTCATTTGTTAGGATTCGACTCCCTGCCTGAAGGCCGAGGCGCTCCCCTGCAGCTGTGTCTACAAGCCACCTTTGGCACAGGTACAGAATGGGGCTGCCCCTCTGGCTGTAGGAAAAAGCCCCTTTGCTGCTCTGTTATCACTCGCCCCTGCTCTAATCCTGTTGTAGTCCTTGTTAATACGGGTACTTCCCTGATCTTTAACAGCGCAGGACCAATTGGGGCTTGAGGACAGAGTGGGTGCACGTGTGCCTCCTGGACTTACCAGCAGTGGTGGAGGCAGCAGCAGATCCTTAAAGGTAAGTGGGGCAGAGGGCCAGCACAGCTGCAGAGGATCCGGAACAGGGAGCCCCCCAGAGCCCTCTTAAGTGAACTGGCAGAGAGTCGCGCTCCCGAGCCATGCTGGTTCCTGCCCGGTGGGGGGCAATCCTCACTGGCCCATGCCACGTGGGGGGCTCTGCCATGAGCCCCCTAACCCCCGCCCACTCTGCCAGGCCCCCACGGCATGGCTGCCCTGCCCACCCCAGCTCCCGGCCCTTTAAAAAAAACAAAAAAGCATTGATTCACCAGCTCCTGCCTGGCAAGGGGGCGATCCCTACTGCCCCATACTGCCTGGGGGGCTCTGTCACAGGCCCCCAGAAGGTCGCTGCAGCAGCTGGTGAGTCATAGATTCCTAGATGCTCGGGTCAGAAGGGACCACAACGGATCACTGAGTCCGACCCCCTGCCCTGGGCAGGAAAGAGCGCTGGGGTCAGATGAAACCTCCGTGGCCAGGTGCATGTCCAGCCTTGTCTTGAAGACCCCCAGGTAGGGGAGAGCACCACCTCCCTTGGAAGCCCCTTCCAAGTTCTGGCCACCCTTACCATGAAGAAGTTTTTCCTGATATCTCACCTAAATCTGCTCTCTGTCAGTTTGTGACCATTGTTCCTTGTTACTCCAAGAGGCAAACAGAGCATCTCCGATCCCTTGCTGCGCCCCCCTAATGAATATGTAGGCGGCCACAAGATCACCTCTCCACCTTCTCTCACGGAGGCTGAAGTGGTCCAGGTCCCTCAGTCTCTCCTCATAGGGCTCGGCCTGTAAGCCCCTAACCATACGAGTGGCCTCCTCTGGACCCTCTCGAGGTTATTCACATCCTTCTTGAAGTACGGTGCCCAAAACTGGATGCGGTACTCCAACAGCGGTCCAATCAATGCCGCATAGACGGGAAGTATCGCCTCCTTGGCTCTTTTTGTCATGCACCTACTGGTGCATGATAAAGTGCGGTTAGCTTTGCTGATGATTTTGTCACTCTGACGACTCATGTTCATCTTGGAGTTCACGATGACTCCGAGATCCCTTTCCGCTCTGTGCTGCTGAGAGGGTCACTTCCCAGCCAGTAGGTGGGCTGGATATTTTTACACCCTAGCTGCAGCACTCTGCACTTGTCCTTGTACTGCATCCTACTGTGTACTGCTCACTTTTCCAATCTGTCCCGGTCCGCCTGCCATCGTTCCCTACCCTTCGGTGTGTTTGCTTCCCCCCACAATTTAGTATCATCCACAAATTTGGACAGAGTACACTTCGCACCCACATCCAAGTCACTGATGAAGACATTGAAGAGTACAGGTCCAAGGACCAAGCCCTGCGGGACCCCGTTGCCCGCATCCTTCCAAGTTGATACCGACTGGTTTGCTACCGCACTCTGGGTGTGACCCCCAAGCCAATTTGCCACCCACTGGACCATGTAACCGTCTAAGTCATAGCCTCTGAAATGCTTGATGAGAATGGGACGAGATGCTGTAGCGAAGGCTTTCCTAGAATCCAAGAAAAGGAGATCCACCTCTACTCCTGTGTCTAAGCGTTTTGTGACCCGGGCATAAAACGAAGCCAGATTGGCCAGGTAGGAGCTACCTGCTACGAATCCAGGCTGGTTGCCCTGCTGCATTATTTTCCCCCCTGGACTCCCACAAATAAGATCCTTCATGATCTTTTCAAAGACTTTTCCAAGGACGGAGGTGAGACTGACTGGCTATACGTACTCAGGTCCTCCTTCCTCCCCTTCTTGAAAATAGGCACCATGTTGGCCCTTTTCCAGTCCTCTGGGACCTGACCCAAGCGCCATGAGCGCTCGAACAGCCGTGCCAGTGGTTCTGCTACGACACTGGCCAATTCCTTGAGTACCCTCGGATGCAGCTCATCTGGGCCTGCCGACTCGAACGCATCCAGTCCGTCCAAGTGATGCTGCACCAAGTCAGCATCGACAGTTGGTAGGCTCATGTCCCTCTGATGCCC